TAAAACAAATTTAAGAGATTTTTAATAGAAACTAGTGAACCCGCATGGCGTTAAAACGCCCAAAATTGAATTTCAAAAATCTAAAAAATATTCCAAATGTTAATCAGACTTATAAGCGATCCGAGTGCCATACTTCGTCTCAATGCCGTGAAGACGTTTCTATGCCGAAGAAAAAGTTCCAACTTCAAAAAATAAAAACTTAATCCATATATACAGCCCACGAACTTTATTACATCTCTCATACTTGTAATTCCCTCTCGTATATTATACGTATATACTTAGTTAGGTCAGTATGACTTTTCGAAAAGCTGGCAAGGCTAATGATTAATAAATTAAAATTTACGAATAAAGAGTAAATAATGTTTTTTTTTTTTAATTCTATGCGATTAGCAAATATGTTGACATTATTGTCTTTACATGAAGCATTGAACTCACCCATTACCCTAATAACTGGTTGATTTAGAGCATATTTGGTTTTACAAATAAACAATCGCAAACAAATCATGTTGGCGAAGCATTCTCATTGGAGTATTGTGTTTAATGAGATCTAAAACGGCAGTGCAGTCAATTGCTCCACTCAAAACTGATTAATTAAATTGAATTTTAAATTTTTAACCATGTGGCAACACTGTAAATATAGTTCAGAAAAAAGCCTTGTTTAACTCCTGTCTACTGATGCCAATAATTTATAAATTTATTTAGCTTATTAAATAATTTGAATTTCGCTTTTTAAACAGGTGGCATCCCTCTTTATACACCTCAAAAATATAACTCTTTTGTTTGTTATATTTCAATTTTTCGTTGTGTATAGGTTAACTGAATTCGACTTTTGAAAGAAACAAACTTTTCGTCTAGCGCCCACATTGTGATACATATGTAGCTGTCCATCACCTAATTCCCTTAATTAAATTTGATTTAATTTTTTAAACAGGTGGCACCCGGTGCAGTTAAGAAACAAAGCTTTTTAAGCCCATTTCGATTGATACCAATTTCGTTATAATTGGTTTAACTTTTTAAATAATTTCAACTTAA